CTTCATCGGCCACGCCCCCTTTTTACTCGTTACAAGCATCGAAGCCTGGATTCAGGTAGCCCATCACTAATGACAACTAAGGCAGATGGGGGTGGTGAGGACGATAATATGGATTTTGACGACTGGACTCCGGTTGGATGAGGAAGAGGTAGAGGTAAGGATAAGGTTTTGAAAGAGGATAGAGAAATTGGTAGCCAGAATAGTAAACGAAGTTTGGAAGAGTGCAGCTCAGATGAAGAAAACAGAGTAGTAAGGAAGAAAGTAACAAGCGAAGAATTTAAGGTAATTCTTAAATTCAGGAAGGAAGATATGAATATTAACCTTAGTCTGATACAAGTTTCAAGAGAAATAAAAAAGAAACTAGGGGAGGTGAAGTTTGTTAAAACATTACAAGATGGAAACATGTTGATAAAGTGCAAATCTGAAGACCAAAAGAATAAATGCATGCACATTGACAACATTTGCAAAAAAGTAGTTAGTGAAAAACTAATTGTTGGAGAAAATAGAGTATCACGTAATGTTATCACTGGTATTCCGCTGTAGGAAGATTTGGAAAGACTCAAAAGGAATATACAGGGGGAGAAGTACGGAGATTGAAAAGATTGTTAAAGCATGTGAATGGAGAAAAAATAGAGTCTTTCGATTCTTCTGGAGTTTCAAGGAGAAGTCCTTCCTGATAAGGTTAAAATTAGATTCATGAGTTTTTCTGTGAGACCATATATCCCTCCCCCTTTGCGTTGTTTTAAATGCCAAAGGTATGGTCATATTGCAGCAGTGTGTAAAGGGAAGCAAAGATGTGCCAAATGTGGAGGAGATCATCGATATGATGAATGTGGAGTGGATGTACAAGTGAAATGCTGTAACTGTGGTGGTCAGCATAATGTAGCGTATGGAGGTTGTGAGGTTAGGAAAAAGGCAGCAGAAATTCAACAGCTGAGAACAATTAAAAACATCACTTATGCTTATATAGAAAGGATATAAGGTTTTTGTTTGTTTGTTTGTTTTTTTCCTACTTTTGGGGGGAGATTATACTAGTTGCATTCTGATCCACACTCCATACCAGTAGGTGGCTGTAATGCACACCATTAAGTTGCTTGCCAACCGCCATTAAAAAAAAAAAAAAAAAAAAAAAAAAAAGTCTTCTGCCAGTCCTTTAATGGAGTGTTAATCTTCAGTGGTAACGTCTGGGACACTGAGCACCTTGTGTTACTAACCTTCTTTGCTTCCCTTTTTCCTGAGACTTATCTTAAAGGTCACTCCTGATGAAACTCTGGATTCTGTTGCAGTTCATTCCCCAGCTGACTCAGTCACCTGCAAACCTCCAGCCAATTCAAAGTCAAGACCTAAATCTAACAGAGAATCTGTGGCGAGACTTGAACATTAATGTTCACACTCTCCATCCACTTAGACTGAGCTTGAACTATTGTGCAAAGAATAATAGGCAAAATCGACACTTTTTAAGTCAGCTGTACATTTAAAGTGAACATATTGAGCAAAATTTCATTGCAAAGCTCCCAATAAGTTAAAAAAATCAATAAAAATATTTATGAGTTTAGTGGTCTTATAGGGTGAGGCATGAAGCTGTTGTGGAATCTGGTTCTGCATTTGAAGCTGCTGAATCTTTTCCCAGAGGGCAGCAGTGAGAACAAGCCATGCTGAGGGTGGAAGGGTCTTTGATTGGCTGAGTCCTGGACAGGCAGCGACTGTGAGTGGTGTTAAGGATGGAAGGAAGTTCAGTCCTGATGATTCTCTCAGCTGTCCTCGCCACGGTCTTTACAATGCCATGCAGCGGTGATAAGGTGATATATGCCCCAAAACCAGACTGAGATACCACTGTCTATTGTCCCTCTGGACAAAGTGGTGAGGATGGGAGAGGGGAGGTTTGAGCTTCTCATCTGATATATAAAAGTGCAGACATTGCAGAGCTCTCTTCAGAGGACAGAGGTTTGGAGTGACCAGGTCAGTGTCAGTGATCTGTATCCTCAGGACTTTAATGATGCTGACCTACTCCAATGCAGCATCATTGATGAGGAGGGGGGACCTCACTCTTATCGTATGTCCCCTAATCAATGAACTGTGTTGTGTGATGCCAGCATCTCCACCCTAACCAACGTGGTATGGTACATGCTGTAAGCATGTATGCTGAAGTATTCCTGATTCTCTGAAGACCAGGTTCACACTTGCAGCTCCTTCATCTTATAGAACCAAGGACTTTCCTGGAGAAAGATTACACAGCTAACTGTTCCATTCATTCTGGATATGTGATTTGCTGTATAATTATGATAAAATGCTCTCATCTTCCCCCCGATTGTGTTTAGTTCAGATTCATTGAGAAAATAGGACAGTTGTGAACTTGAATGTAAACCACGCCATACATAGTTTGTTTTATACTAAGACTGAAAGGAGTTCAAAGTTATTAAGTAAAGTGTACTCAGTTTGTTACTATGTCATGTTTTATTAAGTCTTACTTTGAGGACATTTACAGTTACTTTCCCAGTTTTAGGGTCACAAACTGAAATGTATTTGAATTGTTCTTCATAAAACTGTACAACAGGAGCGGTTCTGTTAGTATTTTTGGACCATCTTTCATGGCTGAAGGGTGCTGAAGCAGTTAGGTGAATATGATATTGCTGGGATAAGAGTCAGAGTCAACATAAGATGTTGCCAGGATAAGAGTCAGATGCTCTACAGCAATGTAGATGAGGCTCTAGGTCTTCTGGATGACTCCCCTTCTTGGACTCCATTTGGTGTTAGTGATTCTGCAGGTGCTGCGTAGCCGCCTCACTCGTCTTGAAGGAGGATCTAATGGTACTTTCCAGTGCAGTGGTTGCAGTGGTTTAATGGACCAGTTCTCCTCTCGCCATTGATTACTTTCAAACAAATAAAAAAAGAGCAATGCGACTTGGATGTAACATGTAATGTAACGCTTTACTGAAATGTAGTGAAGTAGAAAGTTCAGATACTTACTGTAAAATATTGTTGAGAAAAGTTGAAAGTATGAAAGTATCCACGATTGAGTCTACTTAAGTAAAGTACAGATACATGAAAAATGTACATAAGTACAATAACATCCCACCACTGATCAAAGTAGGTAGCAAAATCCTTGTGCCTGGTGTATCTGCAGTTGTGACCTGAGTTTCACACAAGTGAAACTCAGGTCACCATGGTGATGCCTCCCTTCACTATGGATTCAGAGCCTAGGAGTGTCTAACAAGATTGATGTCTCTGATTTGGGCACCGCAGCCTTCCAAAGTAATGAAACACAACCCAAGCTGTTGCACATAATACAGACATTTGCTGCAGTGTGTGTCTCTCTGCATTTTCCATCTGTAGGTTTGGCTTCTCAATGGAAACCTCAAAGCAATCTAGAATCATGGAACTTAGGGAATTTGTTCCTAATGTCTGTTGAGATTGTCTTGAAGATGTTCTCTCTCTGCAGCTCGGCAGACATTCTGGCTTCTTCATGCTGGACAGATTAGCGACTGTCAAACTTGTACTTTGTTTCAGATGTAGTGTGAAACAATACAAATCTGTTGGATGGGATGTTTGATTTACAGACTGGACATCTGTAAATCAACTAATTACACCTGTGTAATATTTGGATTTCATCTCATCTCCATTTCTTGTGGTGTCACAGGGATGTGCAGGATCCAGTTGTCTGTGCAGTCTCCATCCCCACCAGGTTTTGTTTTCATGGAGATTAAGTCAGTTTCTTCCTCCAGAGTTTCATTCCAGTTTCCAGGTTTCAGTGGATAAATTGGTAATAAGGGAAACTTATACACTGCCTGTTTCATCTTTATCTTCCTCGTTACCAATACTGCTTTTTTTTGAAGTTGATTAAACTAGCAAAAAATAAATAAGTAAACAATAATAATAAAAAGAAAACTAGATTTGTTACACCCCTAGTAAAATTCAGGGGTGTAACAAGACTAAAGGAAGGTTTTTGTTTTTTCTTGACTCTGGACACCCAATATCTTGCATACTCATAATTCAGATTAATTCAGTTCAGCCTTAGCTTCAAACACAAGTGAAACTCAGAGTGCTGAAAAAGCAAATCCTTGAGTTTAGTGCTCATGTGGAGTGGTAAGCAATGAGTTAGTCTTATAAATATGACAGTGCTAAGCTGTTGATGGTTTTGTTTGTCATCAGAAGTACTATGTACAGATTTCTGACTTTTACAGAAAGCCATTTTCACAAAAGGACATAAATAGAACTTCTTGGACCTAACCCTAGCCCAGTTCTAATTGCATTGTAGAAGTTGAGTTTACAGATTAAAAATGGTAGGTTAAAGCTACATCAGCTAAAGCAGCCTCATTTTTGAAATACAGTCAAAGGAGGCAATTTTGGAGACAAATTTAATAGATTTGTTACCAGTAGAAGCTATTATAAAACTTTCACATGCAAGCACTACTTAATAAAGTCATCAAATAGAAAATCAGTCAGTTTGTTTTCCTTAAATCTTGTTCTCTTGAAGGGGTGTCCACATGTTTTTTTTTTTTTTTTTTTTTGCAGGTAACATCTGAAGCCAAGTGGTTGCAATAGATTTAATTTCAGTGAAGCAGAATTGAGAGGTTTTAATACAAACGCACGCCACACTTTTCAGATTTTTGGTGTTAAAAAAGGAGAAAACATAATATAAATGTTCTTCCACTCTACAATTATGCATTTTCTTATATTGGTGTGTCACATAAATTTCTTACAAATCTTTGTCATTTGTGTTTGTGACATGATTAAAAATAAATAAGTTCAGCAAATATTAATGAATAGTTTTGTGGGACATGTATGAGGGACCTTACGCAGAGCGATTGACTATTCGCTTTCTCCACAATGCTTTCCGCCCCGGTCTTTTTCGTGTCCCTTTTCCTCCACCTAACCAGCGGGATTCGGAGAGTCTATCCCTCTTCCTTTATTGGCAAGCTCATTGGACCAATCACAAGATTCGACACTGCGCAGTGTAGCCAATCGCCGTCGTCTGCTGTCCTACACCCGTCTAGCAAGTTCATATGCATTTATGTAATGTGTGCCATGGTCTGGACCCAGCAGTGTTGACAATAGGCTGAGAAGAAACAACCCTGAATCGACAACGAGCAACGGAAAACACGACAAATTCAGGGTGTTGTTTGAGACGTAGAGTTTAACCGGTAACTGGAATGTTATAGCGTTAATCTAATCGTTGCGTAGAGCCGTGTTTCATTCTTATTGGTAGTTTAAGGATTTTCCATTTGGATGGAAAACTGCTTGTGGGTTTGGCTGTTTTAGGCCGAGATTTTGCTGCTGGGAGAGGCTGTTTGCACCGAGCTGGAGGCAGCCGCACAGTTAGCCTGACAGTTATCCCGACACAAGACAAGTCTGTGCCACAGTCTTCACTGCAAGCTGTGGAGGATCAAGGCGAAGTACAACGACGGAAGAAGGTTCCAACCAGTCTTGCTCAGGTCGGGACTCGGGTCAGGACTCGGAACGGTGTGTGTGTCTTCCAGCCCGGTCACTCTGTCAGTGTGTGAGCTGTAGCTAACATTTGCATCATTAGCTCTGTCCCTGTATTTACATCCGGGATGATGGGTGATCGCCCAAGTCCGCCCAGGTAATGTTATCTCATCAACACACATTTAAATTCAGATTTGATATAGTTCCTGTTTTGAGCCTGTTCGTTGTGTTCCTTTAGCTGGCTGCTCACAAGGCTAGCTGCCGTTGCTCTCGTTTAAACTATAGCTACACGCTCAACTTAGGCTAGCTGGCGTGCTAAATGTGGCTAATGACCTGAGACAATGTTTTATTAAGCAAACAGAAGCCTTTTTATTAATATGTTACTCTGTCTGAATATGTAAAACATTTAAATGTGGCTCTACTCTGGTCCATGTTAAATCAGCTTACGGGCACTTATGTGATTCTCTGTGCAAGGTAATTTTTAAGCTAACGTTCCTAGCGAGCTAACACTTGGCTAATGTGCTGTCAAGTTTGCTCCTGCAGGCCCAATATGGCCAAACTGACGCCTGGCATCTAACGGCTTGATTTCTGACCCCATGTACAACACGAACTACTTTGCTGTTCCAGCTCATGATGGAAGATGTACATTCTTGCTGCTGTTTGGGTCGGTTTTACGTTACATTTTGGGCTTTCCCGTAAGGCTGATCTCGGGACAACGTTCTGTTCTCTGATAAGGTCCTCTCAAGCTGCACGTTCAAAGGTTCAAACATAATTTCTAGATGAGATCAAGACACCAGAGCAGCTAATGATAAGCTTGTCGGTAACATTTTCGAGAGGCATTTTTTTAAAATGTCTAAAACAATTTCATGTGAAAGAACAATGAATTAAAGTAATCTCTGTATCCTTTGAAGGATACAGAGATTTACTGATTAACAAGCTGAAAATTTTTTGGGAAACGTTCTGTTAATTTTACATTGAAATTTGTGAATAGTCATCAAGATTCACTGTTTTCGATTTTTGCACACATTGCCATAAACAATTGAATAAACCTTTGATAAAATAAAATGCCAGATAGCTGTCTATTACATGTCACATTGGACAGTTACAATGCTGTTAAAAAAGTATTTTCTCTCTGAGGGCTTTTATGCTTTTAGTTTCCATAAGCAAATCTTAATTAATAAACAGGATCCATGCAAACCTTGGCCTAAGTTAAAATGTAAAAGCTGTGGGACACCTGTGACTCAGCTGGAAGAGTAGTCAGGAACAAAATGTAGTGATCTTGATTCCAGTTTCTTCTGTCACTTATCAGTGTGCTCTTGGTCAAAACACGTGTTACTTGCTGAACTATGTATGCTGTATGATTCTGAGGCAGGCAGCAGAATTGTGAGTGTAAGAAAACAAAAGCAAGACATTGCTCCATTTGACTAGGAAAAAACAGAATGAGAGTTCAGTTTGTAATTTTCTAGTTGAATCATGAATTAGCTTATCAGATGTATACACTGCAAAACACTAAATCTTACTAAGTATTTTTGATTTGTTTTCTAGTGCACATATGTTGGTACACTTGAAATAAGAAAACTAACTTGTAAGTAACTTTTCAGAAAGCTGTAAGAGCTTATTTTAAGTTTAAAGAAAAACTTAATTGATGAAGTACTATTTCACTGGCAGATTATTTAATTTATAATAAGATATTTTCTTGGGATGCTCCAATTAGATATTTTGCTGCTGATTCCAATCACTGATCACTGCCAATCACTTGGATTGGTTATGTATTTATTTTTTTGCTTTAGGTATAAATGCTACTATGTGACCTGGTAAAATTAAAAAAATTATCTGGTAATAAATTCACCTAATTTAGACATAAAACATGCAATATACTTGCAGGACAATAAAGCAGCTTTTCATTCAAAAGGACAACTGGAAAACCTGCATTAAGTAAAACAGACTTTAACAGTAAGGTTCTTAGTACCCTAAATTATACACGAGTCAAATAAATCTCACAACACTGCTTATATCAAATAAAGTCGAGTAAAAAAGGAAATATTCATTCAAAGTCAAATGCAAGTTGCATCCAAATAAACAGTCCTGATTTACTGAATCAAAACTTCCTGATAGCTTGGCTAGCTGATTAATGCTGGTTCTGATTGTCTTTCTGAGTGAACGGAGTAATTCTGCAGAATGCCAGGAGGAGACAGAGAAGATTGATTATCTGTCTTATGTTAGAATATAGCAAAAGTTTTAATGCATATGTAAAACATTTTGTTTAATTTAATGCTGCAACTTTAAGCAGATGTTTGGTGTGAGAGTTGTCTGCCGGATGGAGCTCGAACGGAACTCCATCTGTGAAATATTTCTACCAGTAGCATGTAGTGGCGGATCAACAATGAGAGCAGAACCAGCGTCTTACACCACTAGCTCGTTGACTTTAATTATTCTTTTGGGTTATTTGTTTAGCTTTCTGACAGCCATGCTAATCCGGGTAAATGTTGGTATTTGTGCGCTGCTTTTCCTGCTGACTGACCGATCTGGATGTCTTCCTTCTGTTTTTTTTTCCTGCAGTGAGCCTCGGTATACCCATACTCTGTCCATTGTTTGTTTTTTAAATGTCATATTAGATTCAGTGTGTTGATGCATTTTGAAGTGCTTCAGCCCCGAGGTAATTTTCCGCCGCAACATGCAAACTTCCCCCATTCACTCTGAGAGCCTTGGCATTTGCTGCTGCGCTCTTGCAGAGTGTAAAGAAAAGGGGGGCTCAGCTGCACACGCAGACTACAAAGTGAGATACAGGCGATCGGTTTTGGTGATCAGCAACAAGAGACAGTGATTGGCGATCACCTATCATACACTTTTTCATGGAAATTGGCCGATTATGATTGGTGGCTGATTGATCGGCACACCTCTAATATTTTCCCAATAAGCAAAATAATCAGCCAGTGGAACTAGTACTTTTTCATCAATATTGAGTAATTTTTGACTTAAAACAAGCGCCAATATCAAAAAGTTACCTGTAAGCTAGCCTGGTAAAAAACAGCCGCTTCTACACATTGCTTCTTCCAGAGGGTCTGGACTCTAAGCTTCTGAGAAATGATTGGTTCCTGGAGGAGTGGACTGTGTTGAGGTTTTAAATCTTACCCAACTGCTTATGTTTGCCTGTGACATATGTTATTCGCTAGTTTGCCACTATGAAGCTTACCTGAAGTTGCCTACGCTGTAAACAACCATCCTCCACTCTGAAGAGCGAAGAGCCAATCCAAACGAGGCGGCTGTTGATGTTAATTGAGTAGCTGGAAGCGTATCTGGCCAACATAAACTGAATGGTTTTGTTCACTTCCTCCGCTGCCATTTCTAAAACTACTGGCAGTCTACTAATCTGAAACAGCACAGAAAACCAATGTAGACGTCTCCTTCTGTCCTCTGATTGCCCCATCAAAAATCAACTGTTGACAATCAAAGTTAAGGGGAGAAAGCCCAGGTTCTGTGCTGGTGGTGATAATTTTTTTTCTAGCAGAATTGTACATGAAGACAATGATCAGTCTACTTGTAATCTAGTTTTGTGTTATCCCAAGAGAACGTCTTCCAGGAGCTCACTAACTAATTCAGGGTGTAAAGCTCTGCAGATGTCACTACCTCCGCTAAGGTCGGAGGTCATGATTCAACAATAAGAAAGAAACTGGGCAACATGGCCTCTATGGGTTAGTTCCAAGTTCACATGAACCAAAAACACAGTTTTGATGGCCACCAAGACTTTGGGGAATGTTCAGTACATTAACAAGACAGTAGTCTTTTTTTTTTTTTAGGGTGTTCATCCTTCCTCAAACTCGGTGGTGTTTCCTGAAGCTCCATTCCTTAAAACAGTTACTGATTTAACAGGCATTAGTTCTGTTTTTGCTTCATTGCATCATAATCAATGTTATAATATTTAAATTAGGGCTGAAAATCTGTAATTGTGATACTGCTGCTGAAAATTGTTATTGATTACTTTTGGTCCCGATTGTTTGGTCCTTTCCTTTCTTTGGCATTGCTCTGAGCTTTACTATCTGAGGCACAGAAAAGAGAATTGGGTGTAGATATGAGGACAGTTAGTCAATGCAACTGGGCAGACATGTTATCAATATGCAATGTGGGAAGGCATGACTCTTTACAACCCACCAGATATGGCGTCCAAGTAATCCTTTTGCATCTGTGATTAATCCGCACACTTATGTAGTGATGACCAGTGTGACTTCATATGTTGTTCAGTAATAATTTGGTTCTGGTTTGTGTCTTGTCCCAGGTGGTCTGGGTTGGGTCTGAATAGGCCTGTCACAATAACACATTTTGCTGGATGATAAATAAACTCAGTAATTATTGTGATAATATAATGTGGGAACACATTTTCAAGTATTAAACTTTAAATTCTAATGAACATTTAACATTGGAACTGAAAGACATTTTAAATACCCAAAATAAACAAAAGAGGGCAAATAGAAAAGTGTCAACTGTCACCCAGTTCTTGGAAGAGAGTGAAAATGGAAACAATATTTCATGCAAATAGAAATTGAGAGTTTTAATTTAGTATTTGATAAATTGATTTATTGCGTATTGTGACAGGGCTGGTTGTGGTCTGGGTTAGGTCTGGTCTAGCTTGGATCTGGGTTAGATCTTGGTTAGGTCTGGTGTAGGTTGGATCTGGTCCGTCTCATGCGGTGGATCTGGCCTTTGAGAGTCTGTCTGAAAGCAGATGTTTAATTCTTGGGCGCTGCAGAAGCCTTTAACCTGACTCACAGTTAAGTTCGGATTTCCTGTCAAGACTGTAGCTTCTCAAATAATCTGATGTGAACTTTGACTCTTGAGATAGAAACCAGGCTGTCGGACTGTGGACCCTGCAGTGCACTATGTTGGCTGTTTTTCCTTTCCTGTTTCTTTTTATTTCCTCGCTGTGCCACCAAACTCCACACCCAACCCACCTACCAGTTGTTTTATTGGTCAGTATGTGTATAACATGTAATGGACACCATCATAATTGATATAGACCGTCTAAAGTGGGAACATCTTTTGCCCCTTACTGCTAGACTTCAAACTATAGAGGGTTGAGTTGTTTCTGAAGAGGGATTGCTAGTGGGCGTGGCCTCATCGCCCTTAAAATTTAAAGTTTAGTACATTTTTTTTCTGGGTATC